TTTTTACATCTGGCATTATATGTATAGGAAAATTGAATCATGGAATTTTTAGCCGAAACTCGTCCAAGTTTCCAAATTATTGAATATCCGAGAAAGAGTCATACTGATTCAAACGTCACAGAATATTTGAAGAATTCGCAGCGATTTCTATTCAAAATTCCATGATTTGATTTTCCCATATATATATTCTGCCAGATGTAAAAATCTCATTTAAATGGTCCTAAAGCTTGAAAGAGTCGCTATGGGGACGAATTCTTCTAGACTTCTTTCTATCCCAATAAGTCTTGCTTATGGACTAAATAGGAGATCGATTGATGATAAACTCTCGTAGGACATATGTATCATAAAAGTATCGCAAACATTTGGGCACACTAAGTATGTTGACGTCAAACAATTGGTGTTCATTAGAAGAAATAGATCCAACGCCTGTAACTAGTCATGTGTTTATCAATCAATCGTTACTAAAATTTCCTGACCAGTTTGACGGCGATCTTTATTTGCTCTTAGCTGTTCAAAACTTCTAGGTTGTTTGTATTTGAAGTCATTTGTACTGTTTTTCCACAGCTAGATCTAAAGTTCCAAAAGCAAAAGTCGTTTCCAGAACGTCAATTGAATGCTTCGTAATATATATAGAAAGACTTAAGTCGAATGTGCACAATACTGCTATGCCTAATATAGACGGCCAATAGTACATTTAATTTATTCGATATATTCGGTACATAGGACTATCATTGTCAATATGATATTGGGAAGAAAGTAATCTCGAATCTTGAGCAACCTAATCAGCATTTTAAGTCTTCCTCGAAAAAGATCGGAAAATGTTGAATTCATCTCTAGCGAACATACGGAAGACAACAAATTCTTAGTTTCTACGAGTATTTTTTAATGCATATATCTGAATGACCACAAATTTGCGTGATCAAGATTGCATCGTTGACTTGAGAATTCTACAAAAATGACGAGAAATAATTAATTTTTATAATATTCCTTTAGGACTGGAAAGATCGGCTAACACTTATTAAACAATTAGGATGTAACAGAATCAAAACGTATATTGGGTGGGCATTACATAAACCCGAAGATGGTATATTTATATTTGACAAACCAGAATATTGTTTTGTGTCCTTTATTAAACTAGCACATAGTTTAGATTTATTAGTTATCGTTCGTGTTGGACCGTATATCACAGCTGAAGTGGATTTTAATGCATTTCTTATTGGATTACGAGGAAACAAGACATTGCTCTACATCGTCCAAATCAAATGTATTATCAATTGATATCACATTTAGCTTCGTTACAATACCATCTAGATAGAAGTATTATTAATTTTCAAATCAAAGATGATTCTGATGTACCATTAATTAGTTTTGATGAAACTCATTCCTATTATGGGTATTTACGTGATGGATTAATAAAACGAGGAATTCCAAGTTTGATTAATACTCTTGCTTGGCCTAATGGTATATCATTAGACAAAGCAATTATACTGAATACATGGACAGCAATAGAATATACAGTTAAACATTCTACATCAGATGTATTAGCAGTATTACGAAATCATGCACCAAATCACAATCCATTTATGGTTATGGAATATTATCCAGACTGGATAGATTATGAAGGACAACATCATCGAGCAATCGATAGTAATATATTTGCCGAAGGTGTAGATAAAAAATTAAAATATAATGGTTCAATTAATTTTTACATGGTATTTGGTGGAACAAATTTTCAATTTACAAACGGTGGTGATCAAACACTAGCATATCATCCAATAATAACATCTTATGATTATAATGCTATAATTACAGAATGTGGTGATGCATATCCAACAAAATTTAAAGCTGTACGTGATATTATTGCAAAATATCTACCATTACCCACTAATCCCAATACCGGTATCATCACCAAACGGTTTATATGGTACACTTCAGTTTAGTTTTCGTGCTGAATTAATGCGAAATCTTCATCCATTTAACGTACTTTACAATATGAAGATACCAATTCAGTTTGAATATCTTAATTAAAGTTATAGCTATATCCTTTATTCTACACAATTAAAAAATTTTATCGGTCTAGGTGAGCCATTGTTATTACCATGGATGCAAGACCGAGCAGTTGTCTTATTAGATGAAATGGTATAAGGTGTGATTGAATGGACCGAAAAAGATTCGTTAACATTAATTAATTTAAATCCTTTGAAGACAAATCCAAATCCAAGATTAGATATTTTGATGGAAAACAAAGTACGTTGTTGTGGTGATTTACCAGACTTAGGATGCAATTTTTAAGGGTATGAAAAGTAAACATCGATTAGACCTACGTGAATTAGGCAATTAGACGATAACTAAATTACTAATGAATGATAAATTGATTGAACAATTAACTACATTTGATTGGGAACCAATGCCATCTATTACTACAATAGTAGTTTCTTTGTACAGATAGCTAGGGACATGGATTCATAATGATCAACGGTTTTAATCTCGATCGGTATAGCGAAAAAGGACCACAACGTACAATGTATGCACCAGCACAGATTTGAAAACAAGGTATCAATGAGATTTTGGTATTTGAAACTGATCGACGACAAACATCATACAATGTAAATGAAAGAAATATGATATTTATGGATCATCAACTGTGGACTGATTACATAAACTAGAATATTGTGAGCCCATCAATACGTTTTCATTCCATTTTTGCATTATTTCTGCTTTGCCCATTGTTTGCATGTCCTAATGCACGACTTTTTTTTATTCTATTGAATTTCGAATTAGCAACATAGAACAATGAATGACTATCAAATCAAAAAGTTGTCGACTATTTTGTATGTTGTTAGATCTAATCCGCATATAAACATTGACTATACGAAGCATATACCATCACTTTTTGTTTTAATT